CGCAGGATTTTCACGCCAAACTGGTTGAGTATGGGAACTTCCGCAGGACTTGTTAAAAAAATCCTGCGGAATTTCTGAAAAATGCTAGAAGTTCCGCAGTTGACCCTGCGGAACCTTCACAAACTTCTGCGGAAGTTCCGGTTGACTGTCTGAGTATACATACCAATAATATCATTCCATAACCATGCGTTACGCGCATCCAACGAAACTCGATTAACAACAGCATATAAACTCAACAACAACTTTGATGAATCCATACGGTCGTCTATTACCTCATACAGCTATAAAATTGATTGTTAGTCGTAGAAAGAAAATTATTTTAACTGGGTGCTGAAAAAGGACTGCTCAAAGTACGATTGTACCCACCAAACCAAGATTTTCAACCCTTCGAACCACCCAAACGGCGCGCGAATCCGTATCTTGTCTAATAACATCGTAGTTAACAAAGGTGCCAAGACTCATCCATGACCTCCGTAATGACACCGGCAAACGTGCTATGCCAGATTGCTGTAAATGGGCAAATTATTGTTGAAAGCAGAATGTTTTGCCAATCGAAACCATTTTGTATAGGAAAAAAGCTGAACTAACCGCAGAATATACAGTCATATCTCCATCACGTGGACATACAACAATAACACCGATCTGAAATGAATAGCTATAAAACAAACAAAAAAAGTCAAACAAAACTTTGAAACATTCAGTGCAATGCTTTTCTATGGTGCAGAATTATACTCCGCGGATAATCAGCCTTGCTAGCCTAACTTAATCTCTTATGTACAAACGCTTCAGAAAATAGGAGTAAACAAATTTCATACCCAAACAAATGATTACCTTGGCAACGATAACTGATTAAACGTGTTATTTGAAGAATTTCATAAGTTTTCGCTATAAAAAAAGAAAATAAACAACAACAAAAAACCATACCTGGTTGTTAGCCATCTCGGGAAATTTATCAGAGTTTTTCTTATCATCAGTATGATTCATATTTATGCTCCATGCAACATAACGGCAATTATTTATGTCTGGTTGGCGAAAAATCTGCAAAAAATATAATGGCAATCTAGAAGTACCAGACTCAGTGGCAAGATGATGTGATAAGTGCTAATTGCTCATCGCTCTTTCTCGATTCTAAGAGCTGAAATAATTGGACAGCACTTTTCAAATGAGAGTGCAGCTCTCAGCGATTAGATTAGAAAGATATCATTCTCGAATGAGATAGTTCGTGACATGGCACAATACTGCACATTGAGAAGCTTACTGTATATAGCCGTTACGCTTAAAACTCAAAATAACTTCTGCGCAAACGAAACGTCACAAGAAAGCTTGAGTAACACTCCTACTGCACATGAAACTGAATC